TCCTCCATATTTAAAGAAGTTCTCGTTCGAGAATTACTTGACGTTCGACCGTCTCAATATTCCAGCGGGATTTAATTTCTATCCTAAACTCCCGCCACTCATCATATCAATCGTACAAGTCACTCAGCCAAGAATAAAGTACGCAAGAGAAGCAGATACAATCTCAAAAAAAGATCAAGGTTTTAAGTGAAACAATTTCAAAAGAGTTACTTTACGTTCGACTGTCTCAATATTCCACCGGGATTTCATTTTTATCCGAAACTCCCCCGCCAATCGTATATCAATCACACAAGTCACTCAGCCAAGAATAAAGTGTGCAAGAGAAGCAGATATAATCTAAAATAAAGATTAGGATGTAAGTGAAACAATTTCCAAAGGGTTCGACTTTACGTTCGACTGTCTCAATATTCCGCCGGGATTTCATTTTTATCCTAAACTCCCGCCACTCGTCATATCAATCGTACAAGTCACTCAGCCGAGAATTAAGTATGCAAGTGAAGCAGATATGACCTAAAATAAAGATTAAGATGAATTTGCTGCCACCACAGGCGCATTATTGGACACAAACGTCAACACTCGCGAGGTTTGCGGTAGATTCTCATAATCGACCGGCATATTCATAGCCGTCAATTATTCCGAGTCTTTGATCGAAAGCGTGATTAATTGCATGCTGGCATTCGCGAGCTGTTATTGGCATGTTTGTATCGATATTTCTTATTTTGTACAAAACAAATATCAATAAATATCAACTCACATACATTGACTATCGCATTGGCTTCCGTTGGTTGAACAAAAGTTCAACTAATCACCGGGTTGCCAAGGATACGCTAAATAAATGTGTTTCACGACGCGGGATATTTCGTCTTTCATCTCGCCTCATCGGAGCCCCGCATTGGTCGTACCGCCGGTTTTTTTTCCAACGTAATCAATCATACTTTCTAACGTAATCCAATGTGACACGGTAAAGTCACATTGCGGCTCACCGCTGTCACGTTTAACGTGTTAATGAACGTGTTAATCGAAGAATCACAAAGCGACGATTATTAATCAAACAACGACGGGATACAAACGTCGGCCTTTGGAACGAGATCATGAATTTCGTCTCGGGATAAATTTTCGTTCTCGACGGGCTCGTCGAACAACGCTCATTGGCATTCGCGCGCGGGCACGACTCTCGATCGCGGAGAAACGCGAGTTAATTAACCGCAGTGTCGACGAGAGGGAGAGAGAGAGAGAGAGAGAGAGAGAGCCCGATTTGTATTTTCGGAACTGGCGAAATATCCCGAGCATTCGACGGGAATCGTTGAGAGGGAAAAAAAGCTTAGCGATACACGCGCGCTCCGTGTCCTCGAAAGACGCGATGACGCGGAAACGAACGAGCGCGATCAGGCGAAATCCCAGCGAGCGTCGATAGTCGTCACCGTTGCCGCTGGACTGCACAAAGACGCGCGTGGCGACAAGGTGGCCGAGGGAAATTACAACGGCAATCAGCGTTCTCTAAATGCGGCGGGCTTTTGATGCGGGTCAAATTATTACGTTACATCGGCAAATTATCGCGGCGCGTATCGGAAATGCAGCTCGTGGCGTTCTCGACGATCGTCGTCGGTTAACAACGCGCGGTCATTATTAATTAACGCTGCGCTTCCGATCGATCCCCGCAGATTTCGTGCGGCGCCATTCGGACGAGCAGCCGGTGACGGCCAACAGCAGCTGATTGCGGGACTAATTACTGGATGCGCGATGCGATGCTCACGACTTGCGAAACTTACAAACTCCCCTCGGCCCAACTTTTGGAATCTCTAAATACGGTCGAGATTTTTTTTAATAAGAAGTAATAGAGAGAGATTGAGAGGGAAGAAGATCTGTTGTTTCGCTCAGCCATTTCCCGACTGTCTGGATTATTTGATACGATCGTGATGCTTAAACAAGTGTTTCTTTTAAAGCTTCAACGCGGACCGTTGAAATGCTGGAATATCGGATCATTCTTGGACTCTTTCTTCCTCCTTAAGTCACGACGAAATGGAGATAAGTAACCATTTGTCAGCATCAAGAGACGATAGCCTGTATAACGTTATACCTTGAGATTCTCCATTGTTCTTCCCTGAAATCGATAGAATATCGAGAGTGGAATCACAATTCCAGGATTATTTTCATTTATGCGGCGATTTTTATCGAAAACTGTTGCCTTTGGAACGTAACGACAGCGGTACTTTGGCCTTCCTTCCTCCTTGTCTTCCTCGCCTTAAATACACGTTTTACCGAAACGGAAGGCGCAGGGTGTTTACGAGCAACGAAGCTCAGCCTGCTCGTTTAGTTTCGAGGCATTCGAGCGAGCCGAGGAGGATTTTGCGGCGCACGGGGCGCCGTTTCACCCCTTTCAATGCCGGCTCTAACCACCGACTTTTCATCGTGATCATCCAGCCGTCCCGCCGGCGCATTCGCGAGAATCACTGCGGGCGACGAAGTCCGACACTGCGTTCTGATTGCTACACCCGTCAACCTTCACACGCGAGGGAGAAAAAGAAGACAACAGCGTCGCGTCGCGACGATGGGCGAGAGAAAAAACAATCGTGCCGTCTCGGTGGGCGGGCGCGGCATAAGCAGGGGAGGGGAGGGGCGGGGGAAATAAAAGCGGGAGAGAACAGCAGCGCGGGCTCTGCGATTTTGGCCGAGCGCTTTGTCGGCAATTTGTCGCGAAGGGACAAATTTACGACACCGCTCTCAGCCGTTTTCTCGGAACGAATCGAAAGTAGATCAGCGAACGATAAGCGCCCGCGCGAATTCAATAACACGATACGCGCGCGCGCGCGCGTGGAGCGAAGTCACTTGGTTAACTCTTTCGCGATACGGCGGAATAGAATAAGCTCGCGTTGTACGCGACCTTGTTAGCGATGAGAGTATATTCGGCCGGAATTTACACGTGTAGATAGCATTAGGGCGAATTCAATACGGTGTACGCGCAGCCAGCGTAATGCCGTCCGTCGTCAAATTACACGAGACAAATCGGCGGGATCGATGCCATCTCGCATCGAGCGAAGCGCGCAATTAGCGGTGCTCCAAGCAGGCTCCGTGGATTTTCCGGACACAGGAGCGCTCTTCCGCCGTTGTATCGCGCGCTTGTCCCGGTTTTAATGGCGGTTATACAAAGACCATGCTGCAAACCTCAAAGCCGATGGACGGGGAAACGCGAGATTTCTGCCCGCGTGTCTCGCTCCGACGAAAAAGCCCGCAGCTTTCGCAATCGAATGAGTCGCTTTAAACAACCATCCGCGAGCGAACGTCTCTTAAAAAAGTCTCGTAAACGCAAGACATCGCGAAAAAGGGAAAAAATTAAGGGAAAGGAAACGTCGAGGTAGAATATCTCTCTTCCCCCCCCTCTCTCTCTCTCTCTCTCTCTCTCTCTCTCTCTCTCTCTCTCTCTTTCTTCTCATCCCTCATTTCGAATTCAGTATCAAATTCTCAGATTGTGAGCGTATTTTTCAAATATTTCAGCTTTCCTCCGTTACACGCCTCGTCTCTGTTATTCTTCCTTGATGTATTCTTTTCGCGATATAAGAGAGAGCGCTATATATATATATATATATGTATGTATATATATATATGTATATATGTATGTATATACATGTACACGACACGTCTCCATAAAGTCGAGTACACAAAAGGACGATCGCCGACAAAGTAGCACGAGGGAAATAGGAGGATTTTATCGTCCTCGGGCCGACGTTGGCCGCGGGGGCGTCGACTATCCTTTCGAATCAGTATCAGATTTCGAAACTGCTTAAGCGAACCGTCATCCGGCGGTTACGCGACACTGTTAACCCCTTTCGGGACAGCTCAGGACCACTCAGGGCTTAAACTCCCGATGCACCCTCGCAGTTTCGGGCCGCTCGTCGATATTTTCTCGGGTTTACCTCCCTTCCAGCCCTCCCCGCCCAGCTCCGCAACGGTACACTCGAGCGGGTTCGATTCGCGTTGCGAGCCGTTAAAAGTTCGCGTTAAATCGCCCCCGTTGCTGATCAATGCCCGACGCTTTCGCGATTACGTCGTGAGCTTGAGAGCTTTGGAGAGAGAGAGAGAGAGAGAGAGAGACGGTCGGCCGCGCGCGAGAATCGCGCAGCCCCCCGGGGAACGCACGTGCGCGCGAAGATTCGACGTGGGAAAAGAGAAACGGCCTGGCATGCGAGGCCGTAAATTTCCAACGATTTCCGATAATTGCCAGAGACGGAAAGTCGTTGCAGTTTTCGTTGCAACAACGCCGCGAGCGCGCGACGTGTTGGCGACGATGAAAAAGAAGGGGAAGTTTCTACGTAAATATCTGGCATATTGCGTTCGCGTCTTATGAATATTTAATCGCTCCTAGCCCGAAATTGCCTGTACTAAAGCGCAGGCGTACATTCACAGCCACGCTCGTGCGTCTTCACGTACACGTACACACGTACACACACACACACACACACACACACACACATACACACATACAAACGCCCACACACAGTCGCACGCGCAATCAGCGCGAGCTCGAAAACCCGCGAGCGGTCGGTGAAGTTTTAAGCGTGTTTAAACGTCGATTGTTCCCGGCGTAATCGGCGCTGATAGTTGGAGTGCATTTCAAGGATTTCAATGTGTACAACGGCAGGAGGGAGGAGGGCCGGGGGAGAGGGGGGGGAGGCGTATACGCGTGGCGATCACAACGCCGCGGAAGTCGTGTATTTTTTCCATTCTCCGTTCAAAGAGCTCCGACGCGTCCGCACGCGTGGGCGCGCGACACTCGGAGCGCTTCGATAACATTCAGCTTATTGTTAAAAGCACCTCTCGCGCACACAACGACACACATTATTACATCCGCGCCACAATGCACGCGCGGCGTATTATACCTTACCTACGCTTTTTTATCGCCTTTTTATCGCAGAGAGATACGTAGCGCGCCTGTGCGCGTAAAAAAGAGATTTCTCGCACGCGGGAAGTCAAGCTTTGCCGCTCTTTCTCTCTCGGCCGCCGATTGCGAAGTCGGAGTCCGGGCGGCCGAAGCGGAAGGGGGGAAAACATTTATTTAGCGGCATACGGCCGCAATTTTTCGCCGCTCTCGTTTTCTCAGCGGGGAAAAGAAGACAAAGTGAGAAACGAGCGCTCGCGGCGCGGCGAGCGTTGATTCGCTCTGTAATCATACGCTCGCTTCGACATGACAAGTACGCTTGAAGGCAGAGCATTGCGCCAAGATAAGACTCACCTGCGACCGGCGGAAACCTGCGTATCGCACCGACGGGATTATAGGCGAAAATGACAAAGTCATGGTACTCACCTGTAACAGAAAGAAGAGACACGGTAACGGTTAATTAATGTCGCATACGTTTGCTCGGCGCAACGTAACAATCAAGTTGTAAAACTTCGCTTATTCGCAGTGGGAGAAGCTCGGCTTTGTGCGCTGCGCGAGAGAAATACTAATGGGGGCAACGAAAACGGAAAACGGGCGAGTCGAGGGCGAGGGACAAAAAAGACCTCATTAATGAGCAATAAGCGAGCGTGTATGAACGGAATATTTGCGAGAGAGGAAGCGGGGGATAGTGGATAGACAGATAGAAAGCGGAAGGGGGAGGGGGGCGGGGATTCTTAGAAAAGAGGACGCAGCCATTATTGTTAGCAATTAACCGCGTTTAAACAAGCGGCCATGTGTGTGCGACGAGACTCGCCGCTAAATGCGAACAGGCGCGAGACAACCGTTTTAATTATGCCGTCGGTACTCATGAATAAACATGAAATCCCGTGGATCTGACATCCAAAATGTCTGCAATATCACGTGGTGAAACGTGACGATCTCTCCACACCGCGCGGTGGACGAACAACGAGCAAGGCAACGGATAATCTTAGCCGCGCAAATAAACAGTCGATCGCCGAAAAAGAGAGAATCTCCATTCTCCCCCTCCCGCCCCGCCCCGCCCCGCCCGCCTGCCGTCCGGAATTTTGCGCCAAGGGATTAAAAGTTTCGTACGGTAATGCGCGAACAAAGTTCGCTGCTTGGGGCTTTCTCGCGGCGAAAATCGCTCGGCTCGTTTGGAAATTTCATAGAGTTTTTTTCTTTTCTCTTTTTTGTGTGTGCAAAAAGTGTGTGCATACACACACACACACACGCACACGTATACACGAGAGTACAAGGAGAGACCAGAGAGGCACCAAGCAGAAAAGGAGAAGAGGTGCAGAGAGAGAGAGAGAGAGAGAGAGAGAGAGAGAGAAGAAGAAAGAGACTGCTTTCGCACGTGCGAGCGGAATATATTAACTTATTACTTTTAAATAAGCCACTTTTTCCGCATCCGCGGCTGAAATTATCCCGCGCGCGTCCGCGCGAGATTACATCGACACGCTCTTTGTTGGCGACGCGACCGTGCCGAGATTGCGGTTTCTGCAGCTAATGTTTAAACAACACGGTCTCTTTGTGAACTTATACATATAAATGCGCATATAGATTCGCATCGCCATCCTCGTTTTCGTGCGATGGCGGCGGCCACGAGTCGTTTATCTAATTGTGAGCAGTTTTCCTCCCTCGACCGGCGTTCCGAGCGTGCGATCTCGTATCTGTTTCGGGCGACGAAGTTCGGCGAGCGAATGAACGCACGTGTATTCACGACAAATTTATCGAGGCTCTCTCTCTCTCTCTCTCTCTCTCTCACTCTCTCACTCTCTCTCTCACTCTCTCTCTCTAATGAGATCGCACGGCGGGGTTTCGGGATTTGCGAATGAAACGGTTAATTACACGTTAATTGTCAACACGCATTCCGCTCATTACAACGTGCGTTAATACTGAGTAATTAGCGCCGACAGCGCTTATTCGCGGATGCATTCGGTGTTGTTATTCAGAATATTATACCGGGCTAGGATTAGAATAACGATGAGGGTTATCATTTATCGTTTACTCGACCACATTTCTCCCGCGCGGACACCGCTTGTCACCGGCGCTGACGAATAAAAAATTCGCATTTCCGCATTCCATCCGCATTTTCGCGGGATACACCGGCGGCGTCCTGTAATCTCGCTGTATCAATAATACTTTCCCGTATTTCCCGATACAAAAATATCATTTTCTGCGCAGGACGTATCCCTCTCCCTCGCTCCCTCTCTTTTTTCTCTCTCTCTCTCTCTCTCTCTCTCTCTCTCCCGTCCGCGACATAGCGAACGTTTTCCCCTGCACCGCTGGAATATTATCATATTTTAATAATTCAAAGAGGCTAGGATTTCAAGCCGTCCCGCGAGAGACGGGCGCTGTGTGATGATAGAAAATATTATGACGCACGACCGGCGGAGGACTCTCTTTTCGCCGTACGCTCTATTGACTAATCTTATCAGCCTTGTCATAAAGGAAAATAACGCGAACACGGGAGTGAGGAGAGAGAAGCGGACGGGAGGGAAAGATAGAGAGAAAATTGCGGGATATTAACCTGCTTTCGCGAGCGTGTAGCGGACGTCGAGGACGGGAGAGCCGAGGAGGAGGAGGAGGAGGAGAGGAGAGGAGAGTGTTCGAGAATCAAGCCGGCGATCCGAGCCGGCGGGATGTTTGCGTCCCCGCCGTTTACAAAACGGCCTGGCACGAGATTAACACTCGTCAATTAGGAGGGCGACGTATAACGCGACGGACTCGCGACGTTATCGCGTCAAAGCCGATTACCGTTCCTCCAGACCGCCGCCGCGATATCGCTCGTCGGCTGAAAAATAGCCGGGACGAGAGACGCGACTCGCACACTTGAGGAATCGCAGCTCGCGAACCTCCTCCTTCTTGTCCTCCTGTGTGACGAGCTTCGCGAGCAGATCTAATCTCTCTTTCGCTTCTCGGCTCGCGTGCGAAGCAACGAGCGCGGGCCCGTACGCGTCCTCCGTTTTTATTCTGCTTATCGTATATCGTGTATTGTGTACACGTTATAAACATCGTCGGTTCACGTACTCATCGAGCGGGCCGTAAAACTCGGCGCGATAAAGTCGCGCGCGCGCGCGCGCGATCAGGTCGTACCGCGCGTGACGAGAACGCGAGTGGCACGTCGGATTCAATCAAATGGCGCTTGTACGGAGAAAGAGCGAGAGCGAGACAAACAGAGAGAATGTGCGCGCGCGCGCGAGAAAGGAAATTACGAGGATTTATTTAACCGACGGCACTGCCTCACGCAGGACATCTCGTGGAAACTCATGTTTCACGGTTTAACGTAACGTGCACGCGCAACCAGACTCGGGTCGGGTAATCTGTCGCAACGGCGAGCTTTCTCGTTGTCTCGCCGTTGGGATCCGTTTTGCATTGAACATCCGCGGATGGATACGCTCTGACGAGGGTCGCTCGGAGAGGCCGAGAGCTGCGCTCGTGCGCGACGGTCGATTAAACCGCGGCGTTGAGTATACCTATTTCTTTCGATCGGCAATCCCTGAGGCTCTGTGCGAGGAGGTGTGCGGCTGGCCCGGGAGCCCAGGAGGAGCCAGGATCGACGCGCGATTCCGTCGACCCGACCTGTGACAAGACAGCGCGAAACAGAACGGAACGGGATGGGGTGAGGCAGAGAGTCGATACCTCGTTTGCCTGACGAGACGGATAAAAGCGAGCGTTTCCAGAGCGGTTGGGCCTGGAACCAATTGGCCCGGTTCGGAGGATACAAACAACGTCAAAAGACGAGGATCACTCCTGCCGTCTCCGCCTGCCGCCCGCGTCTTTTTAATTCCCTTTACATCGGCCAATCTCCTCGGTAAATACAAAATCTTAGATCGAGAGGAAAGCGCGCCTGTGACGCGCGCCGTTACCGCGCGGAGGGGGAGGAGGGGGAGGAGGAGGAGGAAGAGGAGGAGGAGGAGAGGATGCGAAGTCGAATAACGGGTCCTTTTCAAACGGCACTTGGACTTTTTCAAACGTAATTGTATTCGTTGACCTACTACCGGAGCGGTACAAGTAATGCGATTGCGGAACTAAGCCTGCAGGAGAGAGAGGGAGAGAGAGAGAGAGAGAGAGAGAGAGAGAGAGAGAGAATGAGCAAAAGAGCGAGATCGGTACGATGTCTTGAAAAAGCTCTATAACATATGTCAGGCTCCTTATTGGCTCTCGAAATGGCTACGGGGACGAAAGAATACGCATGAACGAGAGCGAGCGATCAAGCGAGCGAGCAGCCAGTCCAATTTGTCATTGTTGCATCCGATTAATGGCACAAGTCAATCACGGTAACGTTAACGAGCATCCGGAGAGGATTACCTGCCCGTTCCGGAAACGCCAACGAGCCGAGCGCCAGGCCGACCATAAGATCGCCTAATCCGCGATCGATCGATCTGGCGCGGTCCTTATCAGCACCGTCGACCGAGTTAGCACCTGATAAACAGCTCACCCTTTGGGCTTCACTCGCCGCGTTTAGTTGCGACATTTGGCGTTGAACACGCGATTACGCGAGATATATATATATATATATACATATTATCGCGATATTCACCAAATCGTCTCGACTTGAGACCGAAACTTGAAAATCCACGACGATTTTCCCGATGAAAAACTCTATCGGGTTTCCTTCTCTTCGAAAGTATCCTCGCGCGCGTGCGCGCTTCCTCTCTCCTTCTCTCCCGAGCGTCTTCATTAATCCCTCCGTTTGACGCTCCTTTACTCGTCGCTGGCTGAACGAACTAACGATAACCGTCGAGAAGGTCGGAGCAAAGTTGCAGAGGAGGAACGATAGGGAAGTTTCCCGCGGGAGGAATCGCGGTGAGAATTTTTACGACGGCCGCGCTGACGCGCGCGCGCGCGCGCGCGCGTGCCCTTCGCGCGTAGAATGCATCGGTTTGAATTACGAGCGTTATATCATCGCGCGTGCGAAAGTTGCGCCCCGAGTAAATGCCCGTGCTTCATAAATGTCCGGCGAAGTTGGTCGAGCGGGAAACTTCGGGTCGGGCGATATTGCACGGACGTAGCCGGAATTCAGCGGCGGTGCTTCACGACGAGGCGAGAGGATAAGATCGTAGGAGCGAGGCGGATGGACACGTGGCGCTCTCTCGAAGACGGCCGGCTGTTCGCGCTTAATTGCGCTCATTAAGCGGCGCTTTCTACCAAATTTCACAGCGCAAGCCACCGAAGATGGATACTCGGCCCGTGATGACCGCGCGTCAGCGGGAGAATACGTAGCCCGGTAACGGACGGAGCGCGTTAGCGCTACCGTTCTCGCGTTCGCTATACCTGACGTACGTTCTTGCGTACCACGTAGCGGATGCATCATGAATATTTCAAGCGCCGTAAGTGTCTGTCGTCACGGCGGCGGAGCAGGCTGCTTCGAATTCAACGGCGATCCGCGCGCGCTCCTC